ACATTCCACTATGCAACCTTAATTGTGGACTCTTGTGATAAACATAATACCCTATCATACATGGCTTTTAAATTATTCTCTCCCTCATCTGTTTCAGTTTGAGACTAAATTACATGGGAGGAGATTGCCAAGTTTTCTCTCACAGAGCAGCTCGTAGATTTCAGTTTTCTATGTCTCTACTGACTAGGCCATCAGAGCCTAAGATAAAGGACCAGACTTAAATTTTTTTTTAATTTATGTAGGGGGCACATGTTCAGAGTAAGGACTCAAAAAATATAATAGGAATTGATCTCAGGATAAACACTGGCTTCCTTAGAAAAATCATCACTAGAACTGTGTATATGTGTGTGCTTCTACATATGTATGACTGGTACCTGGTATTCATAAATCCATTCTTGCTAAAATGGTCTATTCTCAATCTACAGCTTTATTGCTAGTCTTTTCCAACTAGTATGAAAGAGTATTCTCCTACATTCCAACATTATAGTAAGAAGCCCAAATACAAATTTATGATCATAGTTAACATAGTTGTGAAAGTTGTTCCTAAAGGTCATAAAGCACTGTGGCAGACAGATGTGGCTGAAAGAGGGATAAAGAAGCAAAACTCTTCTTAGAAAGGAGAAATTCAAGCAGACTAAAAAATATATTTGCATGAGGACAGGGAAGAGAAATATCTTTAGAGAAATCCAGAAAACTTGCTTCAATTTAAATGAGAAGTATGACAATAACATTAACTCTTTAGCATGAAATGTGTGGTACCTCCAGAAAACAGTTATGAAAAGCTTACGGTTTAATAATGGGGTGAGATAAGGTAAAAAGGAGAAAAGTAAAATGTATTTTTTTCAGCATTCAACTTATCTGCCAATAGCTTTCATATCATAAAGGTATACAAAAGAACACAGTAGGTAAATTCTGAGGAAAGAAAGAAACTTGACTACAAAATTATTACACAGCATGAAATTTGGACCTACAACTGAAGGTTGTACCTAAAGCCCTGTAAAGAAGACAAAACACTCCAAGAGGCAAACACTAAATCAAATTAGATACACAGCACTCTGTGTTGTTGTTGTTGTTGTTGTTGCTGTTATGTGCCATCGAGTCGCCTGCGACTCGTAGCGACCCTATGTACAACAGCCCTAAACCCTGCTCTATGCTGTGCCAGTTGCACT